CCATCCATCCATCCATCTAAACTTTCGCATTTATAATATTAGTTAGACTAGCTTGCCAGGTGGAATTAAAAATAAATACAAAAGTAGCCTATGTGTCATCTATCAATACTAATATAATAAAGCGTAAACACATACTTCTTTGTTGCCTATGATGTCAGCAATTACAGCATATTTTCGAAGTAACTCTTTTTTAATAAAAAGCCCTACACTTAAGTCACGCTTTAGGCTATATATTTATACGCCGTTAAACTTAGGGGTAAATATTTTGGATAAAAACCCTAATGTGGGAAAGAGACAATAAGTTGCTGCCAACATCAAGGAAGTAAGATTGCCAAGTTTTGTCATATCATGTCATTTTGACATTTGCAAATGATAATTTGACAAATGTGAACAATAAAATGATTTTTTAATAATTTCATGCGGATGAAGTCGCATGGGATCAGCTAGTCTATGATAAACATCGAGATCCGTTTAACAATAACTACAAAATCTAGCAAACACCCATGAAATGGTGAAATAAACATTCGTATATTTCAGTATTAAGTAGTAAGAAGCTATTCCCATGTGACATAGAAACTTTATTTTATTGTTTCCATTAGTATTTCTATTCCATATGTCAAAATTCAAAAGCACAAATAATAATGAAAATCTTTGCCATTATATAGACACACTATAGCTAACAATTACCGTTGCCATGGTAACCTCGCTTTCTTGTCAGCTTGCTTCTGTCCCTTATCCGCATGACTTTTTCCCAAATTATTGTTGATATCCTACAAAACTAACATGTGTTTAGTTTTATTATATTAGTATAGATAATTTTTAAAGTTAATGTTTGTTGTTTTATTGTATTTCAGGTGCGGATTATTCGAAACTAAAACCAGCTAAAGATTTCAAGCCAATTGAATATCCTAAACCAGACGGAGTGATTACATTTGATTTACTATCGTCCGTCGCATTAACCGGTGAGTTATCTATACTTATATAAAGGAGAAAGATTTGAATTTTTGTATGTATTGAAATAACTCAAAAACTACTGGGCTGATTAAAAAAAAACACCAATATATAGCAACGTTATCACAAAGTAACGCTATATTTATTACAATTTTTATTTACACGCGGACTAAGTCGTGAGCAACCTATACTAAAATTGCACAAAGTAAAGATTTGTATTTTTATATATAAGTCAAAACCTACAAAACTCATTACAAAATATTTTTCAACATTAGGATAATTATTATTAGGTTTAATTTAATTCCGTGCAGCAAATTCGCGAGTAAAACCTAGTTTTTTAAAATATTTATCGCTAGGTTTTACCCGCGACTCCTTCCAGGTGGAATTAAAGAAAAAAACAAAACCTACGAAACTATTCTCTACATCTATATCCAAATTTCATCGAGATCCGTTTAGCAGTTAGGCTACAAATTCTAACATCCATTCATCTAAACTTTCGCATTTATTATATTAGTAATATAATTAAGATTATTTGATTTCAGGTACTAATCACGAGGCGGACCAACCTCCGCATTTAACTTTAAAAGATGATTCTATCCCTGTTAAGACAAATCTATCAGTTTTTGATGGTCCTGAAGGAAGATTCTGTCCCGCAGGTGATTTTAAAAAACCTAATAAAGCTTACATTGTGTAATTAAATAAAACCGTTTCTCTAATTAATTAACTAACACTAGTCAAGACTTTTTACTAACTAAATATGAGATTTCTCGAAATAATGTTTTATTATTATTGTTAAACTTCAATTTAATTATCTCTGTTTTAAATTTTACAACGACAAAAAATGTTATCGAATTATTTTTATAGTAATTTTTACTTTTACTATTTACTATATACTAATATAAAGAGGAAAGATTTGTATTTTTGTATGTATTGTAATAACTCAAAAACTGGGCCGATTTCAAAAATTCATTCACTATTAAAAAGCTAAGTTATCGTTGAGTAACAAAGGCTATAATTTTTATTTTTAATTTCACGGGACGAAGTCGCGAGCAACAGCTAGTGTATGTAATGTTAATTTACAATTTTAATTACAGGTGTATATGAATTTGTACCAATGGAGACAGGGGATGGACAGAGATTACAAATCAACGCGCAAAACTGTATTCATTGTAAGTTTTTTTATTCATTTTTATTTGATAATTCAAATACTTATAACCTCAAAAGTACATTTAATAGAATTTTCCGAACATTCGTATAATAAATTAGAGTTATTCAAGTTGGCACGTCATGCACAATTGTACACTTGTCCCCGACGTGCCAACTCAAATGTCTTCTATACAAATGTTACAAAGAAAGATTTGTATTTTGGTATGTAACGAAACAACTCGAAAACTATTCGACAGATTTCGATAATTCTTTCACCACACGACAGCTAATTTATCACTGAGTGATATAGGCTATATTTATTACTGGAATTTATTTTTAATTTCGTTTTAAAATTTAAATGTTTTTATTCCCAGGTAAGACGTGTGATATAAAGGACCCCTCACAAAACATTAACTGGGTGGTCCCTGAAGGAGGCGGCGGCCCCGCGTACAATGGAATGTAAATACACTAGAACTTCGGCAACATAAAAACCTCTTTAACTTCAAAAAATAATATGTTCCCTTCCCATCAGAGCCCAAAACCTCTATAACATAGACCCTTGATAACAGTTTTTTACAGTGGTAGTGCCCGTTTTAAAATCTTAGCACTGCAGGGCCGGCACGCCCGGTGTAATACCACGACCACACAGAAGACAGGCGTCAAATGGAAGCAATTCCGTGTTTCGTCTGATGAGTGTGGTGCCTGAGGCATAATTTAAGTTCCTTTCCTTTTACCACCCTATTCTTAAAAGGAGAGGTTGGAAAGAGGAAGTGGATTTGACGGTGGATGAGATGCACAGGAAGGGGAAATGTCCTTTTTTATGTGCGTCTCCTCCGTCGTATAATGGTAGGCAGCGCATCTGCAATTGCAGATGTCTATGGACAGCGGTCGCTTAGCCATTTTGGCGGTTTCAGGTGGCCACTTGCTCGTTTGCCACCTTATGATATAAAAAAAAAACTTAAAACTTCTATATCTTAAAATATTTTGTATTATGTTTTTAGTAAATTATGTATTGAAAAGTACATTTTGTACCTCATATACGCTTGGAAATATTTTTGTATACGGCACAATATTGAAACGACATTTAACCTTTATATGCACACTGTTGTATAAATATCAATATTCAACAAAAAATAGAAATTTGGATCCTAGATTCTTAAAAGAATTCTTAAAAGTTGATTGATATGGCCATGCTATACAAATGCCATTAAAATTTGGACGTCTGTCAGATTGTTCGTTTCAGTATTCGGCCGTAAGTGACTTTCCACTAAACGGTTAGTCGCGCGACTGACATTTTGTATACGTCAGTGGAAATATGCAAATAGTCATTTACTGTAGTCTCGTTCATTTTTTAAGTAAAAACCGGTTTTCATTCTATTTACATTGCTATAAATCATGTTTTATGTGTATTTTTCATAATAAAAAATTCGAATCTTATTGTTTTATTCTGCAGCTAAATTTACTTTAAAGTAATATTTTATGATTTTTTTTTATTTCTTATTATATAATGTAAAATCAAAATGTAAATATTACTGTAAGTTGTGAAACTGATTTTGGATTATTTGTTATATATGGAATATTTACGTTGCTAACAATATACAATATTAAAGTGGATTTTGTATATTTTTATTATATCTGATATGTACTGTTTTTGTCGATACATGTTTTAATAGTTAAAAAATAGACATTAAAAACTGATGATCATTTTCCGTTTCAAATATTTTTGATATCATTTTATAAATATTTAAATATATTTACAATTTTCAATAAATATCTCATTATGGTGCTGACGTGTGTTCATAGGAATGTATGTAGTCCAAATTGATTTATATTTATTATAGAAATAAGGTCCTATTTAGAATAAGTGTTGATTTTATATGATAATAAATCAATTTATAATGAACTGTGTTTTTATTATGGACGAGTGATAATATCTAGTAAGCGACTAAATGTGGACGTTTTTATATCAAGCAAGATTTATTTCCACTTGTAAGGTTGGTCGCGCGGTTATTAGGTTAGTGGAAATAGGCTAAAATCATGTTGCACTATTAAATAAAAAAATAAATTACATTTTTTTTATAATTAAAATACCTTAAAGAATTCCGTATTCTGTTACAAGGAGAACGTTAGTTATGAGTGTGGAAGGGTACATCTGTAGAGGTAGACCTAGAAATGGATGGATTGCGTAAAAGGTGACATGGTCAAAAAGGGAGTGATGACAGATGACGTATAATAGAGTTATGTGGAGGACAAAAACCTGTTGCGTCGACCCTACGAGAGTAGGATAAGGAACAAAATGATGAAAAAACACTGTATTCTTATAATAATAATCTAATTTTCATCAGTGAATTTTTTGTTCAAATTGTTTACATTAATTTTTATTCTGCGAAATAAAGACAATCTGTTTCTTGACACTTCTTTCAAGTTTTGACAGATTGCCTATAATGTCAGGATACATTTTTTCGATATTTTAAAATTTCAAGTTTTTTACAATGATTTTATTAATATTTTTAGTCGTCATGTTATGTGCTGTGGTATGTATTAGTTACTTTACTGTAAAAGACAAACCTATTAACAGTTCATCTTTGTTTACTAAGTACTCTATTATTTATTTGGACTATTGTTCAAATAATAGTGACTTTAGAAATAGTTAAATATGTATTTATCTTAGAACTTAACATTGCATTTTTACTAAGAAATTACAAGAAAAAAACCAGTATTTATTATTAATTGGTTTGGGCTTTCCCTAGGTCAGTAATATAGTCCATTATAAAGTAATTTAGCAGTTAAAAATACTAATTGAATTGATAACCTTTATTAATTCGATTAAAATACTCTCGATGTTGGCTAAAATAATTGTGTATTTCAGACATTTTTTACTAAATTACTCACTACTGGACTAATAAAAACCATTCGTTATTAATTTGGGTCAATAACTTCATAAAATGCGTTTCTGAACTTGAGATTAACTCCGTTGAACTTAGGACAACACTAATGAATCTTAACCTACCAATGTAGGTATGATTACTTAGTGACATAGTGTGATGACCACGCGAACGGAGTCGCGGGCGAAAGCTAGTTATAAAAAAAATGGTAACTTCAGCAACCCTGCCATAAACTGCTAGCCTGCTAGCTTCGAAATACATGTATATACGACTTTTTAATTTTGTGAACCTTATTTCAAAATTGAAAGTCATATCTTAGTAGATATAATATTTAAAAATGAAACCACAAAAAGGAGTTTTAAAAGTCGTAAAATATAAAAAGTTCCCCTTAGTCAGGGGCAGTTTAGTTTTCAGCCTCATAAAATTGTCAGCGGACTTTTTGCGGGAGACTGTAATTTCCTCGAGTCTCGAAACATAAAATATCCTTCCGTTGTTTAAAAGCTGAGAATAAAAAATGAATTTAAAGTCAACGGAAAGGGTAATTTTTTTCAGTCATCCATTTTTAAATTCCACAGATAACTAGCTTTCGCCCGCGTTTTGTTCAGGTGGAATTAAAAAAAAAATGGCCTATATGTTCTTCCAGACTATCATCTTTATCTTTACCTGTGCCTAATTTCATCAAGAGCCATTTAGCAGTATAGGATACAAATTCTAACAATCTAACCATCCATCGTAACTATCGCATTTATAACATTAGTAAGATAAGTACGATGAATGATGTCAGTAAATATATAACAAAAGAAGAATATGGACTTATATAGAGAAAAGATTGAATGTGGATGACTACAAAGGTCGAGAGGAGAAGAAAGTATGTGTGGATTGTGTGAAAGAGGATATGCTTAAGTGTGTGAATTCAGAGATGACGGCTGATAGAGTTACATACTATGGCAAATCTTCGTAAAGATTTTTTTTTTATAACATAAGGTGGCAAACGAGCAAGCGGCCACTTGAATCAGCCAAAATGGCGAAGCGACCGCTGCCCATAGACATCCGCAATTGCAGATGCGTTGCCTACCCTTATATGACGGAGGAGGAGACGCACATAAAGAGGATATTTCCCCTTCCTATGCATCTCCTCCACCGTCAAATCCACTTCCCCTTCCCATCCTCTCCTTATAAGAAAAGGGTGATAAAGAGAAAGGGACTTAAATTCACTCATCAGACGAAACACGGAATTGCTTCCATTTCACGCCTGTCTTCTGTGTGGTCGTGGTATTACACCGGGCGTGCCGGCCCATTTGTGCTAAGATGTTAAAGCGGGCACTACCACTGTTAAAGATTATGAATGGAAAATTATAGCCATAAAAAATACAATATCTGTACATCCGTTTGTTTACCAACTAAAAAACCCAATGTAAAACTTTCACAAGATTAATGTTTTACGTCTTAATATCAAATTTACTTGGGCTTAATTAAATTTAAGAAAATTGCGCGAGAGCCGACTCGGAAACAAGTTGTTTTGAAATATTTTCTTGTAATAAAGACTTACGCTTACCTTGTTTTGGGGTCGGCCATTTAACATTTTTATGATAGAAATTTATTTAACGGAACCTTAAAACTTTGTGAAATAAGAGAACTCGGTTTAATACAAAAAATAGTAAGTAATTTAAATATTACGCTATATTTTTCTTAGTAACTCTGTTTAATAGCCTAATAATTTAAGAAACAAACGAGAAAAAGGAAAAAATTAAAAATTCAAGTAAGCAATAAATGCCTATATCTGCATATACTTTATTGTGAAGCAGTGAATGTCGTAAAAGCGATTTATCTCGTCTCATTAACATATTTCGTTTCAATTTCAATATAAAATATCAAAAACTCATTTGAGTTTTCGCTTCACTTTCACGAGGCGGATAGAATTGAAAAAGTTTTTAATAAACGTAATATAATTCGAATTTCAAGCGGCTCATATCGTTCCACTTTTGTGCTTATTATTTATTTTACTTTGTTATACAATAAACATTAAACGATTCCATTTTAAATTAAAATTACATTACTTGAAATCGATTTTTAGATAGAAAGAAACGTTCTCTAGTTTATTTTCACAGGAATTAATACCTTCTTTAACCATCTCTGTAGTCAATACACGATATTCATATTCTGAACAGAATGCAAATAACGCATCATCTCGAGAGAAATGGGCAACGACCAGAAAGAATTTAGTCTTCGAAGATTCGAGACGTCTTGATCCTGTCAAATTGATTAATCGCAAATCCCGGCGCACGGTATGATCCAACATTCGTTTTCTTAAAGACTGCCATATACTCACAGACACTAGACACTAGACGTGTGTACTCATGTAACTCTGAACCGACTATACAACGATTACTTGTAAATATTAGAAGCAAAATTGTTACAATTAGGTTTTTTAGAGCTCTTATCTTCTACTTTCTTTAGTTTCTTTTTCCAGGTTCAGGGGGAAGATTACTATTACGCTCCAGGTAATGTCACCCGGATTACAATTTCCGGGATACAAGCATACCGGTCTGCGTTGACGCTGGACTGGCTTGCGGCAGAGGACTCGCGTCAACGTGAGCTAGTGGCAGCTTACGAGACGGAGCCCTCCGCGCCAGCTAGGATCATCACAACCGAATGTATTAACTACCCGAGACCCTCGTCCGGTAAGGTGGGGAAGTTGATGCTGGAATTGCTCAAGTAAGTTAATGTCGCACTCAATTGTTTATTGGTTATTTTTTAAACTAAACTTAATGGTATCTCTTAGTGGCCAATTAAAAGTGTGGCAATTAGTTTCTTGTTGCTAGTAGTAGTAGTATTTTAAGTGACAATCGAGCAATTAGACATTTTATGTCATTTCTTTTTAAGTAATGTTTGTTACAATCAAATGATTCAAAGTTACCAACATTTAAAACAAACAGAACGAGAGTACATTAGGAAAAAAGTAAAGATAGGTAGAAGCGCTCTTTCCGTTTTCGTAACCACAGTATCGAAAATGAATTCCTGTGTTTTTTTGAATTAAAGATTATTTTAAGGAACCTAGAAGGAGACGAAGGTGTTTTAGTACCGGAACTGATCCATGTGCTTGTACGAACAAAGCTACTAGTGGAGACGTCGATGTTGGACTCGGAGCCTGACCTTGAATCCTTAGTAAAGACGCCGATGATGATGATGGGAGAGCCACACATCACCTTCCCGAGGATATTGGCGATTGTATGGATGTTAGTTACTGATACCAGTACGACAAGGAATAATGGATGGTGTCCTCTTTTGAAAGTAAGCAGTTTTTTTTTTAATTAATGCTGGTTGAAGGAAGATAACCATGTTATGCATTATTAAGAGTCATAAGATTGCATTGCTAACTATTGTGTAGAAAGAACGGAGTTAATTATAGGAAGAGGAAAGTAGGAAAAAAAGCAGTCATCTCCCCTACCTTATCCTATTCCCGTGTCGGCGGAAAAGAGAAAAAAGCAAGCAGTAAATATTATAAACTAAGCAGTAGTGTCTTAATTATTAAAACTTAATGTAGCTCTACTTGCAAAAAACCGTGGAATATTGTTATTAGAGAAGAAGAAGTCCATCATGAGATGCTTTCTTTGGATATTTCTACCACATTAATAGTAAATTTGTTTCAGGTCAACAAATACTTGATATCAACAAAACCGACGGATATCGCGAAGCATTTGCGCGTACTCGAGCCCGTGATAGCGCGGGCGAGGTTTATCATGGAAGAGTTCATTCAAAACGTGACGCCGCTCAACATGTTCCAGAAGCAAACAGAAGAAATTACCCCCCTGAATGATATTGATACTACGGTAACCATTTTTTAAATTATAGTAGTAGATAACGGAAGTTTTAAGGAGTGCGCATGTAACAAGGAGTATTAGTTATGAGTGTGGAGGTAAAGCGGTAGAGGTAGAACTAGAGATGGATGGATTACGTGAAAGGATACAATCAAGATGAACATCAAAAAGGGAGTGATGACTGAGATGACGTATGATAGAGTTATTTGGAGGGCAAAAACCTGTTGCCGGCGCAAGGGTCGGCACCCTATGGAAGTGAGATAAGGAGAAAAATGATGATGAGATGAGTTAATAACTGAAGCAGACATAATGAAGGTGTTAGAAGAGCAAGCAATTGTTACAGTTTTCCTATACTATTTTGATTTAAGTCTTCATTTTAAGTATATACAGTTCCGAGAGTTTACTAATGAAAGTATTGCTATAGATTTTTTAACGCTCCCATCCAACCACTTAACTTATCGCATGGGGGTTCACAAAGGATTTTTTTATTTTATACATAACTGCTGTATTTAGATTTGATATTAGTTAGAAGAATTCGTTAAAGGTAAGAGAGCCTTTGTACGAAAAAACAACCAAAAGAAATATGTAGTTGCTTAAATACCTCGTGTTTTTGATAAATAAAACGAAACACAGTAGAATCTCCTTACTCGCGATTCTAGTACGCGCGGGCAACAAAATATTTACTATATCAAATGAATTAAAAAAGAATTACTGCCAATTAATATTGTAGTTGCGTAAAAACCGCCTATTCCTAGTTGCTGTAAATTTCGGAACATAATACGTGGATTCCTCGAATAAGGAGATCCTACTGTACATCATCCTACAGTCATTTCTCTTATAAAAAGGTCAACCAATAAATGTATTCCTTACAGCCTAAAGAATCTCCGGCTAATGAGAAGGGTGATATTTTAGCAAAACTGCCTCGATCCAGTGGCGAAGAAATGGTAAGGATTCATTCAAATCTGATATTACTATTTTATTTACCCTGTGCGATAAGTTAGGTTAGGTTCGGATATAACGAAAAACTTTGTTTTGTTTTTTTATTGTTTTTAAATATGGCCCTTGTATTCGAACCTGATACCTTTTTTAAACTTATTGTCAACGGGGAAAGTAAAATATAATTTAGTGATTAGTTTGCTTTTTGATTTTCATTTTTTTATGTCTAAGAGTGTAACCACACCTTTGACTAAACTATCGCACAACTGTTTAGTCGTGCGTTGATTTCTTTAAGCTTATATGGAGGTGCGCACACTACTCGATTTTTAGTTGTGCATAAATATTTGAATTGGCTGCGAAACAAAAGACAATCGCACAACATTTGTGCGATTGTTTAATCAAGGGTGTGCCCCGAAACATATAAATTATGTTTTTTTCTAAATTTGACTTCTTTAACACCATCAGGAGCAGCCAGAAGACCAAGAACAGCCCGAGCCCAGTCTAGAACCAGAATACCCAAGTTCCCCTGTGTTAGACCAAGCCCAGCAGATTTCATTTGGCCAAGAAGAAGTCGAAGTGGATAAGAGCAATGCAGTTGCTATTAAAGGGTGGATTTCATTATTAGCTATGGTTCATACTGTTATGGTCTTGTGTTGTTAATAAAATTTTTCGTAATTTCATTGTTACTATTTACTTGTTTTTTTATTGTAAACTTCGACCAGACTGTTAGTATTTTTATTACTCTCGTTTTAATAATTTTATCACTGATTTTTACTGAAAAATATCAAAAATTAAACTACAGATTTTTAGAACAGATAAAAAATTGACAGATCGAAAGATTATATTTTTTAATCTTTTTACACACGACCGCTGTCAGATTGACAATCATGTTGACTTCAGTCAAATATATTTAACATGTCGTTTTTGTAATTTTATAAGTATTTTAATTATATTTTGGTGTTAGGTGAAATGTTAAAATTGTAATGTTAATATCATGAGTAAAATAAAATTACCGCGATGGGGGTACGATCGTGTGTTTTATTGTTTTATTTAGTTCTCTTGGTAAGTAAACAATTTTGTAAGTACTTTAAAATAACTTAAGCTCATATTATACTAAGAAAATCAAGCGACTAATACGTGATAGTTACTAAATAATATCTTAACCTAACAGAGTATACAACTGTTTTGAGACAGGTTATGAAATCGTTTTCAACATCAAAACATCCTTTAGATCAGTCTCAATGAGGGTAGAATACAAAGTAAGACAGCCGTCATAATGTCATCAATATTAAATTATAACGAATGTAGAAATTCTAAAAAAACTACAATTTAATTTCGATCAAAATTCCTTTCTGGATTACTACCATAATTTTTGTGGCGTCGCTGCATCTCAGCGAGGCCATTCGTCCAAATAATACTTTTCCCTCGTATGAGACATCTTCAGATGCACAGATGTTACCTTCTCGTTTATAGACGTCAAATGTGTTTGGAGTGTGGCTAGCGCAAACAGAACCAGCAACCACCGACAGGCGTCAGAGCAGGCTGGTGAAGCGGCAGGATGATATGGCCGATACATGCAGTAAAGTCAAGTCCACACCTAGGGATATAGTGAGACGTGTTTATGCGATAATGCCGTAGTAAGTATTGAATAAACGTTTACTGATAGACCTCTAAAGCCTTATACACTCATGCTAAGGTTCTTTTAGCATGTTTTTAGTACCTAAGTATTCTACATTTCGTTTCGCATATTTTTTATTCTCTTCTATAACTGTTTTTTTTTTTTGCGTAATTTTAGTATACTATCTTTCGCTCGGACTCCGTCCGTTTACAAGAAAAGTTTGTACCTTATGTGTTCTTCCGAACTATAATCTACGTCTGTGCCAAATTTTATCGAGATCCGTTCAGCCGTTTAGGCTACAAACACTAACAAACATCCAGCCTTCTAAATTCTCGCATTTATAATATGAGTAAGATTAGTAACCTTAACTAATAACCCTGCCCTATGCAATACAAATTTACTCATCGTTGTATTAACGATTTCGAGATATCTCTTAGGGTGAGTTGCACCATATCGCCGGTTACCGTTAAAGTTAAAATTATTTGTAACAGTAATATTTGGAATAGCCTTAAAATTTACTAAG